GAGCCTCCCAAGGTCTCCTTGTTCACTCCCAGGACTGGAAGTTCAAGTGATGATCCCAGTCACCACAGAATAAATCCATCTGTGGAAAGCACAAAGGAGTCGGACATCTCCCCTTGCCATCATTACCTCCATCCTGCTGCCAGGTGCCTTCCTGCTGTGCTTCCTTGAGCTCAGTCTTATTCATTCCCTGACATCCTCCCATTCACAAAGTTCTCACCAACCCATAAAACCTGCTTTTTTTTCATTTATTCAGTCCACCCAAACATCCACAGCGTAAGGTGACACAGCCGAAAATATTTACATTCCACGCTTTCCCATCCTCTTTTAAGCCACGATCTTACCTCAGATCTCTCTGGAGAGCTGAAATTTCCTTCAGGGAAACACAGGTCCAAGCAGCCCCTCTGTGGCATCTCCACGTTGCCACCACGTGGTTGGATGGCTCCTTTCACTTCCTCTCCTTTTGGCCACACAACTTCTTCCACAAATCCCTGGAGTAAAGGCGGAGCAGCCCTTTGGGAGATGTGCTCCAAAGCCCTTTAAAAAAAAAAATACTTAAAAAAATAAAAAAATCTGTTTAAGCAAACATAGAGTAGAGCACATCTCAGTGTGGAGTCTTGGGGCAGCATGAGGAGCAGGAGATCTTGGTCAACTCCTAATTATCCTAAACCAAGTGATGCCCTTGAGCTCCTCTTGAGGCAGGAAACAGGGAGTCCCAGCTGCACATTCCCCACACCACCCTGCAGCCCTGCAGCCAGATCCAGCCCCAATTTCACCAGGAGTGAATCTCCTGCAGCAGCTACAGCCAGGCTTCTCCATCTCCTGGGCGTGCAGAAGACAAATGAGGCGTTTTCCAAAGCCACCACAGGACTTCAGGACAAGCTGAGGGATTTCCATCAGCAAATCTTGCCAAAATAATGATTAAGCCCCCTCTTCATGGTGCCCCTGGTGAGGTGCTGCGCTGGCAGCTCCTCCTGCCCAGAGAGGTCTCTCTACACCACCCCATGGTGGTTGGGGTTTCAGCCATTCCAGCTGCACAATTCCAGCAGGGCATCCCAACAACTCTTCTCCCAGGGCTGACAGCTTTGTTGTTGCCTCTCATGCTTAAGAAAACACACAGGAACCCCCAAGGAAAGCTCAGATCCCAGACAGGGGGGCCTTGGATGGCTCCAGCAATCATTCCACACTGGGTTGACAGGTGGTTGTAGAGTCAATGGATCAGGAAGGGGCTGGATCACCCTCATCCTGAGGGTCCTGACAACCAGTGCATCAACCAGGCAGTTCCTCCAGAAACCTGTCACCACACCCATCAAACTGACTGCAAACCTCTGCACTTGAAAACAGACATTACACACAGGTTGTTCTCCCTGAGCAAGAGAGATTTCAGAAGCATTTGGCTCCTATTCATCTTCACTGATCAGCTCCTGTAACATCAGATCCTTCAGGAAATCAGAACTTTTGGGAAGTCTGGCCACAGGCACAAGCACTGACCTAAGGGGGGACACATCAGGTGTCGTTCCTATTCCTGGGCACCCACGTCCTGCTTAGTACTGAGGACTTAATGTCCAGTTATTGGTAAAAAAACCCTGTTGAAATAAATAAATACACAAAAGAAAGCTCTGTATAAGACCACTTAAAATATTCCCAGATATTTGACAAGGCGATGGGAAGAGGAAGAGGAGGAAACAGTTACTTTACCCTTGGAGAACCACTTTTAGAATCCCAGAAAGTTTGGGTTGGAAGGGACCTTGAAGACCATCCAGTGCCACCCCCTGCCATGGGCAGGGACACCTCCCACTAGCCCAGGTTGCTCCAAGCCCCATCCAACCTGGCCTGGGACACTTCCAGGGATGAGGAATTCACAACCTCCCTGGGCAGCCTGTGCCAGGGCCTCACCACTCTCACAGGGAACAATTCCTTCCCAATTTCTAATCTAAATCTACTTCTCCAACCATCTAAGAAATCAGCTCTGCAATCCAGTAAACAGCCAGGAAGATTCCACAGGGGAAAACATGGGATATTTTCCTAGGAGACCCATGGATTGAGCCTGTGGGCTCACAGGCACAAGGAAGAAAAAGTTTTGCTCAGGGAGTAACAACACCACATCCCCTCAAGAGCCAAAATGTCCTGCCCATTTCTTCATGTCCAGCATCTCTGGTGGCTTCAGAACTTCCCCCAGTGCCACAGGAATGGGAATATGACAGGGAAGGCACAAACCCAGAAGAAATCTTTCCCCTGAACACCCCTTTCCCTTCAGTTGAGTCGTGGAACATCCCACATGCCAAGGAGTTGAAAGAGAAGATTCAGAGATAGAATCTTCCTGAGGAACCAACAATCCCACAAAGTGGGGAAAAAAAAGGACAGGATCCAGGAGATCCAGGATCAGCAAAATGAAAACACTCTGGAAGGAAAAGCACAGCTAATAAATATATATATACATAATATATATGTATATATTTTTTAATAGTGACCTTGCATTAATTGTTTCTCATTTTGCACTTCTAAAACTCCTTTGTTTTGTGGAGACACAATTTAACTTATAAAAACCTTTTAAGCAGAGACATCCAGGAGACTTCACTGGTGCCTTTCCCCCCCTCTGCTGTTCACAGGGATTTCAGAGCCTGCCCTCACTTCAGGGACATCAGTCACACACCCACCTCAATCCCTTGGCATTGGTTCCCAGCATTCCTGCCTGGATTTTGGGAACCTACCTGGGGAAGGTGGAACTCTTAGGACCTAAGAGTTGGTATTCCAGAGCTTTCTGGATCTGCCAGGTAGTTAAAGAGAAATTCCATATGCAACGCTGAACAGAAATGAAACTTGTGTCTGGAAAGTTTAAAGAGCTAAATAGGGAAAAGTGGAGGAAAAGGGCAGGATCTCTTCTAGAAAGTTACTGAAGCTGAAGCCCACAGCAAGGTAAGGACTTTTCAAGGTAAAGAAAAGCTGGTCCAAGGGTGGATTGTAGGGAATCAGCCAAGAAATAAAACTCAGGGAAGAGCCAAAGGTGATGGTGGTTTCAGGTCAAACCAAGAACTCCAGATGATGCAAACAAGGAACAAGACACCTGGAAGAGATATAATTCCCTCTTCTTAAATCAGAAAAAAAAAAAAATCAAAATTGAGATTGTACTTGGGTGTTTCTAAACACTGCAATAGTTTATAACACACTGAAATTTCTCCTTCAATCAGTCTTTGTCCCAGCTGAAAGCCCTGATTTCCAAACCAAACCTGCAGCTGATGTTGGCAATCTGGCAAACACCGACTGCCAACAACACACAGTTGCTTCTTTGCTTCTCACCAGGCTGGTCCCAACCAATTTAACACCTAAATACACTTCAGTTTGACTTTCTCCTTGTTTTTTGGTTTTTTTTCCTTAGGAGTGGCTTCTATTTTCTTTTCTATATATTGAGTGGCAGAGGAGGGAAGTGAGGTTTGTACGAGCATCCACTTAATTCCCCAGGCAATGCCCATCCCTTACTCCTGCTGGGGAGCAACTAAAAGCATTATTGCACTTTCCCAGAAAACTCCACACGCTCAGACTGCACCTACCACATCCTCCACACTCACTCCTGGAGCAGAGATGAAGGAAAGAACAGGGAACAGGAAAACAGGTGGCACCGGGAGCGTTACTCAGCAGCGCTCTGAGCATTCCTTGCCCGGGTTTGTTTCCTCCTCTTTCATTTCAGAGCTCCCACAATTCTGAATTAAGCTTCCCACTCCAAGATTAAAATGCAGCAGTGTTGATCCCTTCAGCTCCTGGGGCTGGATACACTGTGGAGGTGGGAGAGGGAGGAGTCGTCTGCAGCTGAAACACCATCTGCAGGCGTTTTACGTAACTACAGAAAACAGCCACAAACAAAAAAAAAAAAAAGGGGGATTTTAAACCTCATTTGTCAACTCCAGCCCACATTTTTTTGCTACACAATAAACCCATTTTATTACCATTGCTGGCCAAACCTGGGATGAGTGAATGCTCCTTCCCAAACCATTTAATCAAAAGGAGGTACCCAAGCCAGTCCTGACTAAAAAGCACAAGCACCCCGGTGCAGCTTTAGTTTGAACTATTATTCAAACTCATCTTTTCAAAAAGATTTATCACAAAGATATTTTTTTAGCTGCAGTGTTACAATTTCTATCCATGGAAACAGCTGGTTCATCACTAAACAGCAAGACGCTGGCTTGAAAAAAGAAGACACAAACACAGGAATCCAAAGATGGTGGTTACTTTTTTACTTGAGGACTCTCTGAAACATTTAAAAAAAAAAAAAAAATAGTCTTGTTACAGGTAATTAATTCCTTCTGGAATAAAACAGGCTCAAACTGGTTTTCAAGCATCATCAGTACACACAAAGGACAGGCTCTTACACTTGTGTTACATTGCAACCCTCACTCAGCCTCAGTAAACATCTTTGGAATAGAGAGATTTAATTTTTTATTTTTTTTTTTTTTTTAAAAAAGACAGCAAAAAACTTCAATATTCACAGGACCAAAGCACAACATTATGCAAAAGATGAATGGGAAGATCTACAGAGAGCAGCAAACCCAGGCTGCCTACGGATAAATGCTTGCAGGAGTTACACACAGGGGCTGGATTCCAGCAACTGGGAACACTCACCCCTAAGAGGCAGGTTTGGGATTTGGTTGCTTGCCTAAGGCAGGGAGGGCAGTGAGAAGAGTGTGCAAAGGCAAAAGGTAAATTAGTGCTGGGAGTTCTTGTTCAACCAGGAGTCTGCAAGTACAGCATGACAAAGAAAAGGCTGGTTGTTCTTTTCCAACTCGAAGTTATCAGCATATACTCTGTATATTGAACAAAGTTTCACTGTAAGTGAAAAAATTAGAAAACCCAGCAGCTATAAAAGCTACATTTAAATATATTCCAAGTGCAGTGAGCACATATAGTTCAGCTTTGAGCTTAATTCCTTAAAAACAGCTACAGCATTTCTGTGTCCTGCCTTCTCCAGCCCTCTCCAAACTAAAAAATACATCATTTATCAGACACGGTGCTACTGGTTCTCCTCAGGATATCATGGATTTATTGCTTTATTTACAGAGGCTAAAATCTAAACTTTCAGAGAATTTAAGGCAACCCCACAAGCCCAACACCTCGAAGGCATTTCTGGCACACAGTGGTCTCCGTTCCAACACCAGGAAAAGTTTTATCTTAAAAAAAAAAAAACAAAACAAAACAAAACAAACAAAAAAAATGACAGGAATGCTCAGGTTTTAACCCAAAGGACTCTTTCAAACATCAGTTCCATCTTCCAAACACACAACCCAGCACTGAGGTCATCCCAGAGCACCAACGCTCAGGAAAGGGGAAAAAAAAAAACAGGGAAAAAGTCAAAGGAGGAAGATCCAAGACATCTCATTCAATTTGGAAGATTCACTGAGATAGTTGGATAACTAAATCACTTTTTTTCCATGAGTTATGTTTTATCACATACACTGAAAATGCACCTTACAAAGGAGTGATGAAGACTGACAAAAAAACCCCATTATTATACGTTCTTAATTATTTATGAGCTGATTCACCTGCTGGAGCTCCAAATATTGAATTTCCCAATATTCCTTGTTCATTACAAGCTCCTTGTTTGTCTTCTCAACACTCACTAGGGGAGCAGGGATTTAGAGCTGCAGGGAAAACATCATTTCTATCATTTCACAGCATTTCTACATTTGCTGTGTTAATACTCAAACCCAGATTCATCAAGTGCCAGTCCTGCAAACCCACTCAGAAGAACAATTTTAAAAAAAACCACCACCAACTAACTACAAACAAAACAAACAAACAAAAAACAAACCAGCAAGAACAGGCTTGTCAAAAAAAAAAAATAATAAAAAAAATAATCAAAACCTGCTCAGTTTTAGGGTAACCCTTCCCTTGCAAATACTTTGGAAATTAAAAGAATATGGAAAATTCTTTACAAGATAACACTGGTCCAATGGGCATGTGCATTCTTTTTATTTCTATACAGAGTGAAAACAAATACCATACAGAAAACAGTAAACTACATTTTTTTTTTAGGAGGAAAAAATTAAAGTATATGGTTCAAAAAAATGGTTTTGTGAAAAGAGGGGGAAAAAAAAAAATGTTTCTGTAGAAGAAATTAGGAAGCTGTTATTTCAACTTCAGGCCAGGTAAAGCCTGCCTGGATTTTGCAGTAAAATTTGATTAAGTAGAAATCACTGATGATGTATTAAAAATGAGCCAGAGTCCTACTGCCATCCAAAGCAGGGAGAGTGGAGAGGATTCACACAGAGGACCCTGCATGTAAACTATTCCCACCTGGAGTCACAAACAAGATTTCATGGTGCTATTATTTGTGATTTTTTTTTTTTTTCCAAGAGAACTACTTTGCCAAGAAGCTCATATAGTTTTCTACAGCCTTTTCTAAAAGAAAAACGATGCCAATAGCAGGTTTCTGGTCAGCCAGAGAATCCTGCTGCAGAGTGCTTGTGCCATGGTCTCCTGCAAGACAAAAACCTGGGGGTTTGTAGCTCTCATTGTCGTAGCAAAAAGCAGGTTTTGTCACATAAAAAAGCCTGGGACATGTCCCAAAACTGAAGGAACTTTTTCCCCCCTCATCATTTCTTCGGAGCACAACCAGGTGAGGTTTAGACTGAGAACCCTTTTTGAACACCCTGACAGCAAACGGGTTAGTGCATTTTCCTTGCTAATGTTCCCCTCATGCAACAAGTCCACTGGTTTACATCCTGGTAAAAATAACCCCTAGAGAACAGGTTGTTCCAGGAGCCACATCAATGATTTCTTGGCACTTCCCTGCACTCAGGCAGGAGAAGTTCCAGCCATTTGCAACAGCAAGTTTTACTTTTAAATACCTGACGCCAAAGATGCCTCTATTATTTTTTTTTTTTTTTTTGGTCTGACTTCATGAAATGCATCCACATTACCAAGACAGGAGTCATTCTTCTCTTCAAGCTGAAGGATTTGACATTTATCTCCCTTTGAGTTGATGACTCAAACACTAATCCTGCTCACAAACCCAGCTAAGATTTATCCAGTGGAGCAGCCGTTTTCGCCAGGCGCTGCCTCACAGCCCTCGGTGACGAGTCTCTGTTGGACACCTCTTTGCCCTCCATTTCATCATCTGAGTTATCTTCCTCATCTGCTTCTTGCTCTTCATCCAGCTTTTTCAGCAGCTCACCTGCCTCTGGAGACAGTTTTCCTTAAGGAGAAAGGGAAACAGGCACACACAAATAAAACACCATTAAGATTTTTTAGCGTCGCGGGCGGTCACGGGGAGCTCACAACTTTTCCCTCCTTGGTCATGTGGAATTTCATGTCTTGCAGGTATGAAAATGCTCTAAAAGCATTTTTCTACCTCCTAAAAAAAAAAAAAGTTCTTTAAAACTTTAGCTAAATGCAAACCCACTGTAACCCCAAGGGCGACCAGCAAAGTGTCAATCACATGCACAAAGCCTTGTGCTCAGTCTCGGGTCCTGCACACACAAGTTCTGCACCAATATTCATTTCATAGATTTACCAAACTGAATTAGAAGTTTACAGGGGGCTTACTTGACTGAGGGTACTGTGCTGGTCTGTGCCTTTTGGAGGGGCAGATACAGTCAGCCAGGAACACCATCATCTGAAACCAAAGGAATCAAAGTTGAAACCTCCAAACATTCTGCACACGGAAATCATCTGGGTTGGAAAAGAGACTTTTAAGATCAAGTCCAACCATTTACTTAATGCTACCCTGGCATGGATCCCACCCAGCCCCCACCCCTGTGTGTGCCTCAGGGGTGTAGCAGGTCACTGACCACTTCCCCTTGGATTATGGGAGCTTCATCCTGCTCCCCCTTCCCTGTGTTCCAGCTCAGTGTATCCCAAAAACAACCGTTAACCACCGAGGTGAAGGCAGCACAAGGGTAACACACAGTGGTCACAATCTCTTCCAAAATGCTTCACTTACCAGTCCCAGTATCAGTCCTGAGAACAGAGTTGCCAACCCAAAAATAGCATAGGAGCCCCAGACCGGTATTCCAAGGTTTTCTGTTAAATAACCATGGCCATGCTATGGAATAAAAGACAAGAGAATCATTCCAAGAACAGCTGAATACCACGTCTGCTAAGATAAAATGAGACAGAGATGTAAGCACATACCCTGATCCACATGGACAACTGGAACAAAGCTGACATGCTGCTCATCCTGGAACAAAGCAGAGAAAAGAAACTGAAAACATCTTTAAGTCAGTCCCAAACCTGTATATTCTGATTTCCCTACCTTATTCCCACACTGAACTTCATGCCCCTGTCTGGTTTCCCTTCTAACTATTAATTTATATTTTCTGTTTTGTCTTTACTTCAATAAACCCCTTTCCCATCCAGCTACTTTTGGTATCAGTTTGTGTAATCTTCCACATATGGACTGCTACAAATTCACAGACTTCCTCAACTTGGATCTGCTGGCACATTAATTTCAAGTTACTTTTATGTTCTAAGTGACATTTGGACCAACAGTGTATGAGGAACCACCTGGAATTCTGTTCAAGATGTTAGGAATGAAGCACTGGGAGACTTTATTAAAACAAAAAATTAAGCTATTAAAAAAAAAATCGTGTTATAGAAGAACTGAGAGCTCTTCAGACACATTTAAGTTTAGTGTCTGAATATAAAAAAATAATAGAAAACTTGGTAATCCTAAATTAATGCCCTAAATTAATCCTTGGTGTGGGATAGTATTTTGTTGGAGAACAACAGTTTGAAGATTCAAACAGCACCGTGAGTGCTGTTACAAAAAGTAACAATGCCGAGCTTCCTGGAAGATGTAAATTTTCAGACACTTCATAAAACAAACATTAACAGAGGAAAAACCACAAACAGTCAGGTTCATTTGCCTCAACCAACGGTGTCCCCAGCGTGCCCTGTCACTCAGTGTCTCAGCTACCCTGACACCACCACACAGCACATGCAGCACCAACTCAAAGCCACAAAACTTGAAACAATTCCAAAGACAGTGTTTCTTCTCAGCCTTCACTTTTCCTTTAACAAAGAAACCTTCACCCTGCTTTTCACTTGGCTACAGATACACTGTTTTAAACAACAGCACAGATGTACAACTGTGTTGCTGTATTATTTTCCATTTTTTCGTTGCTTATTTAGAATCCTAGAATGGTTTGGGTTGGAAGGGGTTTTAAAGATCATTTCATGCCACTCCCTGCCATGGGCAGGGACACCTTCCACTAGCCCAGGTTGCTCCAAGCCCCATCCAACCTGGCCTGGAACACTTGCAGGGATCCAGGAGCAGCCACAACTTCTCTGGGCAAGTGTGCCAAGGCCTTGCCACCCTCACAGCCAAGAACTTCTTCTCAATATCCAACCTAAATTCCCCCTTTTTCAGTTTGAACCCATTACTCCTTGCCCTGTCACTACAGTTCCCGAGGGAGAATCCCTCTCCAGCGTCCTTCTAGGCCCCTTCAGACACAGGAAGGAAAGAAAATTCCTACAATTTCGATGGACAAAACATCTCACTGCCTCATAAGCAACTCCAAGTGTCAGCAAGTCACCTACAAGACTTTAATAAAACAACACAGTCACCTATTGCTCAGGTCACCACTACCATGGTGACATTGCTGGGGACATTTCTGCCTTGGTGGCATTGCTGGGGACATCTCTCCCATGGTGACAATGCTGGGGACATCTCTGCCATGGTGACAGTGCTCAGGTCATCACTGCCATGGTGACATTGCTGGGGACACCTCTGCCTTGGTGACATTGCTGGGGACATCTCTGCCATGGTGACATTGCTGGGGACATCTCTGCCTTGGTGACATTGCTGGGGACATCTCTGCCATGGTGACAGTGCTCAGGTCACCACTGCCATGGTGACATTACTGGGGACATCTCTGCCTTGGTGACATTGCTGGGGACATCTCTGCCATGGTGACAGTGCTCAGGTCATCACTGCCATGGTGACATTGCTGGGGACAAGTCTCCCATGGTGACATTGCTGGGGACATCTCTGCCTTGGTGACATTGCTGGGGACACCTCTGCCATGGTGACATTGCTGGGGACATCTCTGCCTTGGTGACATTGCTGGGGACACCTCTGCCTTGGTGACATTGCTGGGGACATCTCTGCTATGATGACCATGTTCAGGTGACCTCTGCTCTAATGACAATATTCAGGTCACCTCAGCCATGATGACAATGCTGGGGACATCTCTGCCCTGGTGACAACACTCAAGTCACCTCTGCTATGGTGACAGTGCTGGGGACACCTCTGTTATAATGATAATGCTCAGGTCACCTCTGCTCTGATGACAATGCTGGGGACACCTCTGCTACAATGATAATACTCAGGTCACCTCTGGCATGGTGACATCTCTGCTGTAATGGCAACAATCAGGTCACCTCTGCTCTGATGACAATATTCAGGTCACCTCTGCCACGGTGACAATGTTCAGGACATCTCTGCCACAGTGACAATGCTGAGGACACCTCTGCTTATGATGACAGTGCTGGGAACATTTCTGCCATGGTGACAATGTTCAGGTCACCTCTGCTGTGGTGACAATGTTGGAAACACCTCTGCTACAGTGACAATGCTCAGGTCACCTCTGCCATGATAACAATGCTCAAGACATCTCTGCCATGGTGACAGGTCACCTCTGTTATGGTGCCAACCCTCCCAGAGCTGAGGAGGAGGCAGGACACTCACCCACCAGGTTCACATTCCAGCACAGAGCTGCTCCCACGGAGGCAGCAGCAGGTGTGACACACCCATCCCAGCACATCTGGCAACAAATTCTGACAAAAACCAACCCAAAACTTACAGGAAAGAGGAAGGACCAAACCACGAGGACACTGGTTCAATAGATTTCCATTCCTGGTCGTTGATGAAGTTAATGAAGTCAGTTTTAGTTCTTGCACCCTGGTACCTCCTGAACTCTCCATCTTTGCAGCTGTAAACCAAAAATAACAACAAAAAAATCCTTTCTCTTATATGGTTCAAGCATGGAGCATTTGCTTCCACTCAACAAATTCCCTCCCACCACCTTGTCTATTTTTATATATATTTAATTACTTAGTTTTAATTCTTTAGTTGATATTGCCTCTAAAATCTTTTCCAAACGCCTTAATTACAAGTTACTCCCAGAATAGTGACCCCACAAATATCTTGGCTGGCTTTAGGCTGTGATTCCATAAAGAAAAAAGATAATGATCTTCCTAAAGCACTTGCCACACAGCTGCATCAAAGATCAACCTACAGAGACATGATTGCAAAACAGAAACACCCATGAAAAGACAGGATAAATAAGGCCTGAAGGGAAAGGAAAAGAAATCATCTGGCAGTATCATAAGGTCACAGAAGGTAAGACAGTGGTTGAGTCAGTGAAAAGTAACTCCCATTCTTAAAGAGCATAATAAACCTCATTTATTTGTCCCAAAAAATAAGGGAAAAAAAAATGTTTAATCTCCTCCAAAAAATCCTGTTGCATTCAGTACTTACTGATAGATGGTAGGAAGAGCTGTGATGATAAAACGGCCACTTAACCCTGTAGGAAAACAGGAATTTTGAGAAAAGTATAGGCTTTGTGTAAGAAAAGGCAAGAAATGTTATTATAAACCAAAATACAGGCAGTGGCACCCCCAGGTATCAACCTTTATATGCAATAAAACACAACCTTGTGCCTATCATAGTACACGTGGCCTGAAAGAAATTTGTCCCTGGACAAAGAGTAAGGAAGTTTTTCCATGGGGAAAAAAAGAGATGTTCAGGGGTAACTGCTCTGTTTGACTATTTTGGCTGTAGCTCCTCAGAGAGAGACTGATCCCCACATGATCTGCAACCTCCAAAAACCTTGAAGAAAATAACCCAAGTGAGGCAAGTTTCAAAAATTCTGTGACTTTGGAGAAAGGGATCAGCATGGAGAATACCAAGTTTAAAATCCCACGGAGATAAGTGAGGTGGAGCAGAGGGAGAGCAGACTCTTTGCACTCCCTTTTGCCAACCAAGGGAGGGACTTGCTACAGGGAAGGCTGAAGCCACAGCTTTGCTCAAAAAGTATGGCCAAAACTCTGCTTGAAATCCTCCACACCACTTCTCTAAAGAAAAAATATAATACACAAAGAGAATGACAGGTTATCTAATTTGTTTATTCTATGTATTTTATCTATTATCTGACTGCCTCCTCCCTGTGAGGGTGGTGAGGCCCTGGCACAGGTTGCCAAGAGAGGTTGTGAATTCCTCATTCCTGGAAGTGGCCAAGGCCAGGCTGGACAGGGTTTGGAGCAACCTGGAATAGTGGAAGTGTCCCTGCCCACGGCAGGGGGTGGAATAACACGATCTTTAAGGTCCCTTCCAACCCAAACCATTCCGCGACTCTATTAAGCAAAATTAGAGTGTTTAGCCACACAGCAACCTACCTTTGGTGGAGATGAGTTAAAGACTCGTGTTATTCCCTATTAATTCAGTTTATCTCCCCCAAGCACCACTGTTTGAGCCGAGCATCCCCCGCCGCCCCCTCCAGCCCCTCTCACCCGGCTGCTCCGTCACATCCACTTTGGCCACGTTCACCCCCAGGTCCTCTCCCCACTCGGCGAACTTCTCCCACTCCGGCTGCAGGTTCTGGCAGGCGGGACACCACGGGGCGTAGCTGTGGGGATGGAGGAAGCACAACCCTGTCACCACAGACCCCGACACACACACACACACAGACAAACACACGCACAAACACCCCGCACCCCCCCCCCCCCCCCCCCCCGGCAGCGCTGCCCCACTCACAACTCCACCATCCACTCGCCCTCCAGCAGATCCCGCCACATGCCGTCCGACAGCACCTTCACGGGGCTGGGTTTGCCCAGCGCGGCGGCCGCCAGCGCCAGGCAGAGCGGAGCGCAGAGCGGAGCCCACAGCGGAGCCCTCAGCGGGGCCCGCGGCCGCCCCAGCGCCGCCATCTTGGGCCGCTCCGCCCTCCTTCCCGCCGCGTCACCGCGGGACACGCCCCCCGCCGCCCTCAGGGGCCGCGCGTGCGCGGGGAGGCGGGTCCGGGAGTCCCGGTGGATCCCGGTGGATCCCAGAGAATCCCAGAGAATCCCGGAAGGGTCCGGGTGGGAAGGGATCTTAATGATCTCATTCCAACCCCCTGCCGTGGGCAGGGGCACCTTCCGCTAGACCGGGTTGCTCCAAGTCCTATCCAACCTGGGCCTAGAACACTTCCAGGGATCCAGGGCCAGCCACAGCTTCTCTGGGCAACCTGTGCCAGGGCCTCCCCACCCTCCCAGCCAAGGATTCCTTCCCAACATCCTGAATTTCTCCTCCTCCAATTTCTACCCATTACTCCTTGTCACAGAATCACTGAGGTTGCAAAAGCCCTCCCAGGCCATGGAGTCCCCCCCATGCCCAATGCCCACCTTATCCCCCAGCCCGGAGCACTGAGTGCCATGTCCAGTCCTTCCTTGGACACCTCCAGGGATGTGGACTCCAAACCTCCCTGAGTAGCCCCCTCCAATGTCCAACCACCCTTTCTATAAAGAAATTCCTCCTGATGTCCAACCTGAACCTCCCCTGGCACAGATTGAGGCCGTTCCCTCTCCTCCTGTCCCTTGTTCCCTGGGAGCAGAGTCCGACCCCCTCCCAGCTCCCCCCTCCTGTCAGGGAGTTGCAGAGCCAGAAGGTCCCCCCTGAGCCTCCTTTTCTCCAGGCTGAGCCCTTTCCAGCTTCCTCAGCTGCTCCTGCTGCTCCAGCCCCTTCCCCAGCTCCATTCCCTTCCCGGGACACGCTCCAGCCCCTCAATGTCCTTCTTTAATTGAGGGGCCCAGAACTGGACACAGCACTCAAGGTGTGGCCTCACCAGTGCCCAGCACAGGGGGACAATCACTTTCCTACTCCTACTGGCCACACTATTTCTGATACACAATCACTGTCACTGCAGTTCCTGACAACTAGTCCTTCTCCAGCTTGCTTCCAGGCTCCTTCAGATACTGGAAAGCTTTTATGAGGTCTCCACACAACCTGCTCTTCCCCAGCCTGAACGCCTCCAGCTCTCCCAGCCTGTCTTTATAGGGTGGGTGCTCCAGTCCTCTTACAGCTCCATGGCCTCCTCTGGACTTGTTCCAACAGTTCCAAGTCTTTTTTTATGCTGGGGACACGAGAACTGCACACAGCATTCCAGGTGGGGTCTCACCAGAGCAGAGTAGAGGGGGAGAATCCCCTCCTCCAACCTGGTGCCCACACTCCTCTGGATAAAGCCCAGGATCTCATTGGCTTTCTGGGCTGAGAGTGCACACTGCCAGCTCATGGTGAATTTGTCATCAACCATCACCCCCAAGTCCTTCTCCAGGGGGCTGCTCTTAATCCCTTCTCTGCCCAACCTGTCGGTGTGCCTGCGATTGTCACATCCAGGGCAGCCTCAGGGCTTCCCTTCTGAGGAAAATCCCAATCCCTGCATCACCCCGGGGTCATGGAGCAGAGCTTCTCTGCTGCTACCCAGAGAAGCTGTGACTGCCCCTGGATCCCTGGAAGTGCTCAAGGCCAGGTTGGACGGGGCTTGGAGCAACCTGGGCTAGTGGAAGGTGTCCCTGCCCACAGCAGGGGGTGGAACTGGATGATCTTTAAGGTCCTTTCCAACCGAAAGCACTCCATGATTCCATGGTCTTTGGCTACTTATGACAGAAAGTAACAGCACCTGAGTACTTAATTCTCAAGCAAAAGCCAGGGAGAAGGACAATGGTAATAAGCAGACAAATCCCATGTCTTCTCCTTCCACAGGGAGAAGGACACCGGTAACAAGCAGACAAATCCCACTATCAACTCATCTCACTTCTGTCTCTCAGCACCTTAGGCTTTTCCAGGAAAGGAACCTCTTTTTCCATATGCACAAACTTTCTCTCCCACCAATTTTTCTCCAGCTCCTGCTCAGGATCAGCTGTGATAACATCACCTTCCCTTTTCCTGCCTGGATCATTCCTTTCCCTGCCTCTTTCCCATAATTCATATCCCACAATCCTGAGCCTTGGCAGAGTTCTGCAGCAGCCTTTGAGCAGTGCAGGAAAAAGAATAAATTTTTATTTCACTTTATTTTGGCAACTTGTCTATAGTACAATGTGTATGTTCCCTTCTGTAGGAGAACACCAAGGCATTATTAAGGACTTGATGAGTCCTGTTGTTCATCGATTCAGTGCTCACTAATAAATCACTGCTTGCAGCCCTCTGCTGGTCCTTTTGAGTCACAATTGAATTTTTTGAAATTTGTTATTGATAATCCAAGAATATTCTATTCAGCATCAGTAATGAGGTGAGATGCAAGGAGCTGTCTCTGCTTAACCACCAGGCTCAGTGGTCCTAAAGGTCTTTTCCAGCCTAAACCACTCTGTGATTACCAGCACACATCCAGATCATTTGAGGTGTGATGAAGAATGAGTGCATGAAACTGTGTTGTGTTACCATGTGTAAACAAATTTACCACTGTAAATAAAAGATTCTTTCAAAGGCACACCAAGCTCCCTTTGGGAACAGCTTGAAAGACCCTGAGAATGATGACTTCATACCTCCTCTGCTTGCTTCCAGGAATTACTTTAAGTGTAATGACTGCTCTGGATTACTTTTTATCTCTGTTATTAATGTTACATTGACATTGTCTTGTTTCTTTGTAAAGTTTTGAGAACAAGAAGGCCCTAACTGTATCTTTTAGGTATTTTTTCCTCCAGCCTATTCCCCGAGCTGCCTGGAGAAATATCTCCCTGGTCTTTCAAGGTTCACAGCAGAATAAAGAAATTTAATAACCAAGTGACCTTAAGAAATAAACACATCTTTCTTTCTCTTTTTTTTTTTTTTTTTTTTCCCCCGTGTTCTTTTCCAGCGCTGCCACACAGAGGCAGAGTTGAGGCTGCTTCCAAACGGGAAAGAGCGAGGGAAGAAAATCCTTATCGCTTAGAAACGACCTGGATTTCCTGCTGGGGACACCGAGTCATTTTTCAAGGTGTGAAGGGCTTTTTCCTTGTCCAAGTTCAGGTTGTTTTTCCAAGATAAAGGGGATCTTGTGGTCAGTTTAGTCCTTCCCACCAACACACAACCACAGCTCGATCAAGACTGGGGTTACAAAAATCTCAAGTGTGTTTAAGTTCCGTGAAAAGAATTGCCCATTTAGAGCAAGCACAGGAAAAGGCTGAAGCACAAGCCCAGATAATTGTTTGACAGAGGGAAAATTAAGAGTATTTTAACCTCTTTTAGTGAAAGGTGTCCCTGCCCATGGTGGGGCATTGGAAGAAGATGGTCCTTAAGGTCCCTTCCAACCCAAACCATTCCGGGATATGTTCTTCTGTCCATGGGGCTGTTGGGTTTTGATACAGGATGAAGGATGATGAAGCAAAAAAGGCCTGTGTAATCAAGAAATCGTTCTTTTCCTGATGACATCTGCACCTCAGAAAAATCAAATCCCACAGGTAGGAGTGGGAGGGAAAAGACTCAGCTTCCTTTGGGCTTTGTTTTCTTTTGAGCTGAAAATGGGGAGAGGGGAAGACTGAAATGCTTGAATGTCTCATTTTTCCCAAAGTTAAACCCACAGAGATGAACAAATTCTACAAAATCCAATCCAAAGTGGTCAAAATGCACACAAATTGACCCACTGGGGGGGTTTTTTGCAGAATGTCGATTCCTTTCTAAATTCATTTCTATATTAATTTCTATATTCATTTCTGTTTGAAACGTGAACCAATTGAAGCAGCTCTATTTTTACATAATTTATCGTCTTCTCCCTGCTTTTTTAAGTGCCCTGAGGTACCCTGAGGACGAGCTGAGCACTAAACCAGGCAGATGAGCAGCAGGAGCCCGAGGTCTGACCTTCTGAAGGACCACTTGAGGAGAGCAGAGGCCTGGCCAGGTGATTATTCCAAGCTCTGCAGTGCCTGGATGAGGTACAGCATTGGAGCCCTGACCTCATTTATAGCTCCTGCATTTATGAAAAGCCAAGAGATTATGCAGAGAGCTTTCCTGAGGGTGATCATATGAGGCAGGAGACATGAAGTCATCGTCCTAAAGCCCAAGGTGAAATCAGGCTGTCCCAAAAAACCCCAGGCAGGCCTAGGGATGCATCTCGTAGTGCTGCAGGAAGGAAAACTGATCCAGCTTCATTTTTTTAGGGTGTTTTCCTAAGAGATCTCCTGAAGGGGACTTTGTGGTCAGTTTAGTCCTTCCAACCAACACACAACCACAATTTGATCGAGTTTAGGGTTATAAAAATACCAAGTGTCTGTGAATTTCATGAGTTGTCCAGTTAGAGTGAGCACTTCTGCCAGGCTGTTTCCTGGCTTTATCCTGTAGGGAAAGCTGGTATTTAAAATCTCACTCAGAGCAGTTTTCTGGTCTTAAGAGTTAGAAGACTAAAAATCAAGAGGCAATTACTTTTCTGTGGCTCAGCATTTCATTCCAGGCAGACAATCCAGGCATCAATTCTTCCCCCTGCAGAAAAAAATCCAGGCTTCCATGGGAAATAATTCAATCCTACCTGCCTGAACTGAAGCCCACAGAGGTGCCTCTGACTTCCCAGGAGCCAGGTTGGGCTCGGTGCCTGTGAACATGGCTTTCCCACTGCACATGGTTGGGAAGGATTAGAAGAACTCCCTGTCCTGCTTGGAAAAGCCCCCCTTGGAAAGCACATTCCCACCCAGCAGCCCAGTCCTTCTGCTCTGCAGCACCTGGGATATCCCAGCAAAGCCTCCCAGGGTCCAGAAGATCCCTGGGGCTTCAGGTTTTTGGGAGCTTGGGTGTGAGCAAAGACTTTCCCATGCTCAGCTCCTGCTGTTACACAACCCGTGCCCGCCTGCGGTTTGCGTCAGCTGCACAAAATGCACAGTTAAGGTTTGCTGCTTCCCACTTTGGAAAACCGCTTGGAAGACCTCGGAATTGCAACAGCCCTTCTCACAACCCATCAGCCTTTCCTCCCAGTGCTAAGAAAC